ACCACCTCTCGCTCCTCTCCCTGTTCGAGAAACAGACCCACGCCCCACCGCTTCTCTCTCTGTTCGAGAAACAGAGAGCGTCGGAGGCGGTGGGATAAAACTGAATTTTCGGTTTTCCTTTATCTTTTTTTCTTTTTACAACTTAATAGTTTAGTCCTTGAAATTTCTATATTTACATATAGGTCCTCCGATTTATAAATAAATCTTTATTAATAATTTTCAAAAGTGAGGGATATTACAGCTTGAAGCCGGAGATCCGAGGAGAAGTTAAAGCTCGACAACCGTATACGCTTATGGCAGCCATCTCTTTCCAAGACATCAAGAGGAGCAATTGAATCATTAAGCTTGGAGGACTAGGGTCGCTCCTCAACCAGTAATATTGAAGCCCTCAGCCCCCCCTAATGTCGACCAAGTCCCTACACCAAAGAGGTTAACAAGAGAAGAGCTTCGGGAGCGATATGCGAAGGGGTTATGTTGGCATTGTGACGAGCCGTAGAGCCGTGAGCATCATAGTAGTAAAGGGAGACTTCTTATGATTGAACTAATAGAAGAGCCGTGGAGCCGTGGAGCCGTGAGCATCGTAGTAGTAAAGGGAGACTTCTTATGATTGAACCAATAGAAGAAGAGGTCATTGAACATCCAGAAAAGAGCCTTGAATATGAAGAAAAAGATGCAGAAGAAGAGCCACAACCGACCGAAGTTACGGTACATACACTAGCTGGCTACTCAAACCCGCAAATGATGAAAGTTGGAGGCCTTCTCAAACAACAACCGATCACTGTTCTTATCGACACGGGCAGCACTAATAACTTCCTAAACAGTAAGGTTGCTGTCCATATGAACTTACCTATTTAGAAATGCAGCAGGTTTGTCGTTAAGGTTGCCAACGGACGGATTTTGAAGTGTGATCATAGGTGCCCGCAGGTGAAACTATTGCTGCAGGACCAAGAGATAATTACAGATTTCTTCCTCCTCCCTCTTGATGATCATGAGGCCATACTCAGAATTAAATGGTTGATGACATTAGGTGATATTTCATGGAATTTTATGCAACTAATTATAAAATTTTACAGTAAGGAGAAACAGGTGATACTGCACGGGAAACGTGAGGGCGACGTAACAACGATTTGCACACAACAAATGGAGAAGGTTTTGTGTAAAGCATGCAGCGGCTTTTTGGTACAACTTGAGCAGCAAACTAAGGGAGAGCTAACAAAATTTGAAGATCCAAATCTACTTCCTTTGCTTGTTGAATTTTCAGATATATTTGATGAACCGCACAACCTACCTCTTACCCGTCGGCATGATCATTGTATAACGATTCTTCCAGGCAAATCTCCAGCAAATGCTCAGCCATATCAGTATCCACGTCTCCAGAAGGATGAAATAGAAAGGATTGTAAAAGAGATGTTCAAAACAGGAGTTATTCGGCCATGTTGCGGCCCCTACTCTTCACCGGTGCTCCTCATACGAAAGAAGGATGGAATATGGCGATTATGTGTTGATTACCGAACTCTCAATGGCATAACCATCAAGGATAAATACCCTATTCCAGTAGTAGATGAGTTGCTAAGGGAGCACAAATCTTCACAAAGCTGGACCTTCGATCCAGGTATCATCAAATACGAGTATGCGAAGAAGATATACCGAAAACCACCTTTTAAACACACAACAACCACTATGAATTTTTGCTTTCTTCAAAAGAAGGTGGAATATCTTGGGCATATCATATCAGAGGAAGGTGTGGCAGTATACCCCTTCAAAATTAGAGCAATGCAAAACTGGCTGACCCCGAGGAACATAAAATTGCTACATGGCTTTCTGGGTTTAACAGGCTACTATTGTAAGTTCGTGAGAAACTATAGAGAGATCAGTGCACCACATACTTCCTTATTGAAAAAAGATGTCTTCCAATGGTCGAACATAGCCTCCGTTGCCTTCGACAAACTTAAGGCAGTCATGACGACGACGTCGGTGCTAACACTACCATATTTCAACCGACCCTTCATTATCGAGGCCGATGTATCTGGAGTCGGAATTGGAGCCATTTTTATGCAAGATGGTCGATTACTCGCATACACTAGCAAGGCATTATCTCCCTCCCATCAAAATAAGTCAATATATGATAAGGAGATGCTCGTTATTGTGCGCGTAGCAACGAGGTGGAGACCCTACTTGATTGGTCGACGATTTCAAATTAAAACCGACCATAAAAGCCTCAAGTACTTTTTGGAGCGAAAGATATCATCCCCAGAGCAGCAAAAATGGGTAACAAAACTTCTTGGATTTGATTATGAAATAACTTACAAAAAGGGGAAAGAGAATGTTCTTGCAGATGCGCTTTCGCAGCTATCCGAGCAAGCAGAAGTTTCAGCCATTTCACTTCCGACCAGCAACTTCCTTGAGGATATTAAGATGGAATGGCAAGAAGATTCGGAGACCAGTAAGATACAAAAAAAATTAGAGGAAGCACCAAGCTTCGTGGCTCATTACAATCGGGACTCAAAAGAATTATGCTATAAGGGACACATTGTGCTTGTGATAAATTATACTTGCATCTTCAAGAGTAGATTTTGGACAAAATTATTCCATATGCAGGGTACTAAATTGAAAAGGAGTACGACATATCACCCACAAACCAACAGCCAGACGAAAGTTTTAAATAGGTGCTTGGAGACAGCCCAAAGCCACCCACTAAATATGACTACCCAAAGAGAACTCCAGACCCAGCCAAGTGCCATTATTGATCGACGGATCGTGACTCGACGACGATGACCCACTAATGAAGTCCTAATACAGTGGGCGAACCTACCCATAGAAGATGCCACTTGGGAGAACTATGACGACTTGAAGATCAAATTCCTAGAATTCATGAATCATCAACCTCGAGGACAAGGCTTATTTGAAGAGGGCGGGTCTGTTAGGACTCTAGCTTGGAGAGTCCTAATTGAGAGGGACATTCATGTAGAAGGTTTTTCCTTAGAGAAGAATTAGGAGTTGTAAGGGAATAGGAGTCTTGAGTAGGAGTCCTATTAGGAGTTGGTTAGAAGTAAGAGTAAGTCTTAAGTAGGAGTCCTATTAGGAGTTAGGGTTTAAAAGCCCTATAAATAGTCATGTATTCCTTCTCTTTTCATAAGCAATAGATGAATCTTTTCTGCAGCCTTTGAGCAGCAACTTGGAGGGAGGAACCCCTATAGAGTTCCAAGGAGGCCGATCCCCTAAAGAGATCAACCTCAAGTTTAGAATCTGTAAGGGTTCTAACAGGAAGGCCTCTAGTGGAAGTCGGTGGCCTCGTCGGAGGAGAAAGCCAAAAGTGGATGTAGGTCAAAATTGACCGAACCACTCTAAATCTCGATTTGCATTTACTTTCTACTATTTATCTTAACTACAAACTGCCTCCATTACTTTACATCAACTATACTTCCGTATGCTTTCAATTTAAGTTAAGCTTCCAAAAACAGTTTTATGTCAGAAACGGTTTTATTGTACGAAAGTTTTTAAACCATCATGATTTTACCGCTGCACTAATTCATCCCCCCCCCTCTTAGTGCTGACCCTGATCGTAACACTGATATGTTCCACTCCATCCTAACATGATTCTTCCTACTTTCATTGTCTCTCCATGTTCGAAGCTTCTTGTGTCACTCAAAACGCAGATCAGATCATAACCACTATCAATTGATTTCATCATCAAAATCCGAGATTCAACACTTATGAGCTATCATATTTGAGTGGGTTGAGTTAAAAACTATGAGGTAACATTATGGGCTGAAAAAAATATCATAGCATTAGTAAGATCCATATGAGAAGATTGTAATAAATTAGGTGTCAGTCACACCTCTTAGCCTAAAAAAAATATTTTCGGGATCACCCATAACGTTCTTTTTATTGCATTTGTGGCATATCATGGCTCTAGTTTTAATAAAACTGCTCATACGATTAGTTTTACAGTATATTTTATGATAATTAGTCAGAAGGTATTTCAAAAATTATAAAAAATAAAAATAACTTTTAAGAAATATATAAAAAAAGGTACCTCTTAGCCTAAAGAAAATATTTTTAGGATCACCTAAAACGTTCTTTTTATTGTGTTTGTGGCATGTCATGGCTCTAGCTTTAATAAAACTACTCATATGACTTGTTTTACGACATATTTTACGACATATTTCATGGTAATTAGTTAGGAGGTATTTCAAAATTATAAAAAAATAAAAATATTTTTTAAGAAATATATAAAAAGATGGGGCTCCTCTTAGCTTCAAGAAAATAATTTCAGGATCACTCAAAATAGTCTTTTTATTACGTTTGTGGCATGTCATGACTCTAACTTTAATAAAACTGTTCATATGACTTGTTTTATAGTATATTTTATGATAATTAGTCAGAAGATATTTTAAAAATATAAAAAATAAAAATAATTTTTAAAAAATATATAAAAAAATGGGACACCTCTTAGCCTAAAGAAAATATTTTCGGGATCACCCAACATGTTACGGCCTTAAATAAAACTGCTCATATGACTTGTTTAGACATATTTAATGGTAATTAGTCAGAAGATATTTTAAAAATTATAAAAAATAAAAATAAGTTTTAAGAAATATATAAAAAGATGAGGTACCTCCCTAAAGAAAATATTTTCGGGATTATCTAAAACGTTTTTTATTACGTTTGTGACACGTCGCGACTAGCTTTAATAAAATGACTTGTTTTAATTAGTAGTTGCGAATGCTACAAAGTTTCCTCGACTCTCGGTAGACTGCAATTGCGCTTCGCAATGAATCTAAAAGTTTCCGCCTTTCTTCCTCGCCCGGGCCATCAGCTCCTTTCTTCCTCATCTTTCTCCGCCTCCGCCTTCACCTCCGGTAATCCCTCGTCCTCCTCCATCGCCGCTTCCGTCGACGACCTCGCCAAGCTCATCAACGACCAGCCCATCCCCGTCCTTCGCCACCACATCCCGACTCCCTTTCTTTCCTCCCCTCTCGTCGACTCCCTCCTCCTCCGCCTCTTTGCCGCCCACGCCGCCGCCCCCAAAGCCCTCTACCTCTTCCGCCTCTCCCTACGCGGCCACCGCGATCACCCTCCTTCCTCCTCCGCCTTCGCCACCATTCTCCACATTCTCACCCGCGCCCGCCATTTCGACGCCGCCTTCGAGCTCATCGATGACGTCGCCAGATCCCAGCCTGCCCTCCTGACCCCCAAGTCCCTCGCCGTGCTCCTCTCCCGCCACGCAAAGTTCCGAACTTTCGACGAAACGCTCGATGCCTTCGACCGCGCCGAGAGGGCCTGGGCCGCCGCCGGTCTCTCCTTCAGCTTTGACGAGTTCAATGCGCTGTTAAGAGCCTACTGCACCCAGGGGCGGGTTTCCGAGGCTCGTGCCATCTTCCGGAGGTTTCACTCCCGGTTCCCACCCAACTCTCGGACACTCAACACCCTACTTCTGGGCTTCAAGGAGTCCCAGAATCTTGTCGCGTTCGATCTTTTCTATCATGACATGATGATCCGGGGGTTTGAACCTGATGCAGTAACTTATTGCATTAGAATGGATGCCTACTGCAAGAAAATGCGATTTTTTGATGCTTTGGGGCTTCTGGATGAGATGGCGAAGAATAATTGCTCACCTACGGTCAAAAGCTTTACCACTTTGATTCATGGTTCTGGCATTGCAAAGAACCCAATGCATGCCCGTAGGTTGTTTGATGAAATGGTCGCAAGAGGACTGGTTCCTGACAGAGGGGCTTATAATGCATTGATGGGCTCGTTTGTAAGGGTGGGGAATCTTAGGTCTGCTTTGGAGATTATGGAAGAGATGGAGAAGGCAATTCAGCTTGATGATGTGAGTTATTATACGCTGTTGTGTGGCATGAAGAAGTATGAGGATCTAGAGGGGTTTTGGAAGCTCTATAAAAGGATGGTTGAGAAGAACTTTGTGCCAAGGACACGTACAGTAATGCTGCTCATGAAGGTATTCTGCGAGAACAGCAGGGCTGATTTGGGTTTGAGCTTGTGGAATTATCTAGTGGAGAAGGGATTTTGTCCTCATAGGCATGCATTGGATTCTTTGGTGACAGCACTATGTTGCAAAGGAAATGTGGTGGAGGCCTACAAGTGTTTTAAACAAGTGGTGGATAGAGGGAGAGTTCCATCTGAGAGGGCCTTCCGGGTGTTGGAGGGGTTTCTAGTGCGAACTAAGAAGTTAGACATGATGGAGGAGCTTGATCAGATGACAAAGAGAATGCAAGCACTTGTGCCCTCTCAATTTTAGCTAGCTGGCATGAAGTGGTCATTTCTTTCAATATATTCTTGCTTCTGATGGCTGAAAGGGCTCAGCTCAGATGATGCTGATCATTATGAGGGTTATGCATGTGAAATCTGACTAAACACAAAGAAAGATAGTCTCATGACATAACACTTTTCAAGAATTCAGTCAAGCATGGCCTTCATAATGTATAAATTAGTGTCGCAAAAATCTTGTCATAGTACATGAAAACAAAGAATCAAGTAGCTTATAATCTTGGTACCAAGTTGAATGATAGATTGTGCTTGCTTTGATCCTTTTTGCCTTCCTATTTGTTACGATGTGGTAGGTGAACTGGTCATGAAGTATTAAAATAGTTGTATGCAATTCTGGTAGAACCAATGTTTGATGTGGTTATTTAACTTATACTCCTTCGGTTGATTTGTAATTCTTTATGGACTTTGTGCATTATATTGTATTGATTATTCATTTAAGTGGAGTGCCACAATTGAAAGTGCATCTCTTGGTTTTAAGTGCAATATAGACCTGCACACACCATCACAAATCCAGGTGCAGATCCACTATTTCAAGCCTTCGACACATGACTGGAACAAGCTCGAGCTAACAACCTTCAATGCCCACAAGGTATGGCCTTATCTTCTCATAACGTGGCAGAGTTACATATATTATCATGTATATTTCATCCTTCCGACCGCTTATCTTACAGGTCATGTAGCTTGGTGACTTGGTTGGCCTTTACTGTGTAGTGATTCAATGACACGAATGATGGCAATTTATCAAATAATTTGCAGAAGACAACAGTGACAATTTTCAAATAACTATGTTGCTTTATCAGCCAATCGTGAACTATGTCTCTAGCTTGTTAGTTGAGGCCGCTAGAAACAAAATCGTGAAATGTTGTAAGAAGAGTGTACATCCATATTTTGAGTCATTTACCTATCTTAGATTCACATTGATAACTCAAACATGGTCACAAATCCAGATGATACTCTTTAACTAATTAAGTCATCCAAATTAAGTGCATTGATGTTATCAGAGAATTACTAGAAAGTACTGGTACCTCACTTAACTGTCCTCCCTTGTACACAATTCCAGTATACAGCTTATTTCTAACTTCTAGATTCAATCCAGTCTAAGTACATGACCAATGTCTATCACCAGGTCAGTTGTTTGTTTCTTTGGACTGCAATAGCAATGCCTTTTTGTGGTTTGAACAAGAATGAGATTCATGACCACTTGGTTTATGTACCTCTGTGGTCCAGCTTGATATTTGAGCCTGGACTCATCAAGGCAAACAGGTTCATAGCTACAAAGATGGCTATATTAAGATGGCCATCTTTTTTTTTTATTCTGACATGACATCGAGTAACCCTGCATTCTTTGTTGGGAACCATATTAAGATGACTACTACGGGTCACTGGTATGAACCGCCAGAAAGAGGATACATTTCTGGCTTCTTTTTCCTCTAGTTTGCATATCAATGGCTACAAAGAATTGAATGCCAACAAAATTTCTTGAAGTGACGGAATGCCACTCTGCAGCTTGGAAAAGAATTTTAAAGGCAAGGAATTGGCTAATCAAACATATTTCTTATGCAATCTCTTCTGGAACTAGTACTAATATTTGGTACGATCCTTGGGTGAATGGGAAGAGTATATTTCAATTATATGGTGACAGAATACGAAAAGATCTTGGGGCTCCCAAAGATTGAAAGGTTTTCGAGTTCATTGC